CGTGGACTATACTCTGGAATTGGTAAAAGCCGCCCAGCCTTGTGATGCCATTCACAACTGAACAGCCTGACTAAACCCAGTATCTGGGCTCACGCGCGGTCACTTGACTGTGGTAGCAGAGAGCACGTTGCTGATAGGACCATTTCCAATGTGAATGATCTCGGTGATATTCAACTGTAAGGACGTCACAATGATTTCTGAGTGTAGTTCACTGCTAAATAAGCAGACCTGAGCTGGTGAATGGGGTGGCTCCTGTCAGATCCCAGACAATGTATTAAATTGACGGGCATTAAAAGGCCGCCTGGTCCATCAGCCCCATTCCAAAACCAAACTCACCCCCGCCCCAAATCCCTCGCCTCCATCTCGTGTTATTTCTTTATAATTTGCTGGACCTGAAGCGAAGACCCTGCGAAAACCGTCGGCTCCATATGGGAACAAAATAAAAACAGAAATTGCTGGAGAAACTCAGCAGGTCTGGCAGCATCTGCGCAAAGAAAGCAGATCTGACGTTTCGGGTCCAGTGACCCTTCTTCAGAATTTGGAATTAAATACGCCGGAAAGTTATTGCCCGAACAGCCTCAGGCGATCAGTACAGTGCAGGAGCTCAGTCTCTTAATGAACTAATGAATTTAACAAGCGAGATGAGTTCTGCTCACTGTTCCGCAGTCCCAGGTCTGGAGGTACAGGACAGTCACAACAGGAGCCGTCCCTGTTAAAAAGTCTGACAAGGCCCAATGTCGAAAGTCAGGCCTGAACGACCTGTTTTACAGGGAAGCGAGTCTCCCGTAAAGATGTTAACAGTTAGGCTCGAGCCGAGAGCAGATTCCCACCTCTTGGATCCAGCCTGAAACTTGCCCGAAATGTTATCAAATCGGCGAAATTGCTGATTGTCACAAGGGCTTTCGGAAGACGGCAGTAACGTTCTACCCGGCTCTCTGGGATGAGCGGAAGTTAGAATGTAACGCTCAGGAAGGTCGGGTTTAATACATTAAACTCCTTTGATGGTCTGGCAGCATCTGTGGAGAGAGAAACACAGTTAATGTTTCCGGTTATGATCGGTCCGACGTCATGGTAGTACTCAACTGTTTGAGCATCACAACCAAGTCTGAGCTGGCAGCCCTGGATATCAACACCTGGATGTCCGAGTCTAAACTTTTTACCACGAGAAGGTGGAAGAATGAACTTATTGTCTCCCCAGTGCTGACCCCAACATGTTCTTAGCTCCCACCTCACACTATTTATTCCCGGGATGTGAGGGGTCAGGTTAACCTCACTGAGATTGGTACCCCCTCTTTCAAATAGAAAACCTAGTGACTTTTGGTGTGTCAATTTAACAGCATGCAATATGACTCTCACTGCTGCTAATCTCGTAACTATTCGCCAAATGGACGGAAGCTCAGATTGCGCAAAAATGCTGAGACACTGTGTCTCTTAAAGGAGCATGCGTTAACCTTGAAGGCATTTGGAAACTTTTTTTGCCTAAAAAGAGACGGAAGAATCCTGGATCGATTGCATTTGTTACAATTCACGGAATGACACATTTGTGCGATGGATTTGGAAAATGAAATAAATATGCCAAAGACCTTTTTTTCCTTCAAGATTGTCATTTTCACGGTAAACAGACCTTTTTAAGAGGCCCTTTCAGCAAGGTTCCAACCCTTTAATGATGACTTTTAATTGACTCTTGAAGAGTAAGTCAAAATCTGTTCTTCCCGCAGTCTGTGGTACTCTCGGGAGCCTCCGTTGCTTTAAATAGTTTTGGTTCTATCTGGAACGTGGATTTTGGCGTTTGAAATGTTCTGTTTGATTTTCATGAATAATTTGTTCTGCATCAGAAGCTATTGCCGTCAATTTTTTCAGCAAAATTTCATTCTTCTTTATGAATGTTGTGCTCCTCAACATGGTAGTGCTACTGACTTAACCTCTGCAGCGTCAGCAAGAAACATGCCCGGGGCAGGGACAGCATGGGGTTAGTCACAGAGTAAAGCTTTCGCTACATTGAAATAAAGGCGAAGCCCTGTAGATGCTGGAAATCTGACATAATTTAAAAAAAAAACCCAGGAAGTCCTGGAGAAACCCAGCAAGTCTAGCAGCTTCTGCGGAGAGAGAACCAGAGCTAACGTTTCGAGTCCAGCGTGATTTTCTCGTTATATCAGCTAGATACGGAATGACGCTCCTGGTCTTTCTCAAATTATCTCCTCCTTTCCCACGTTCTCTCCATTTTCATCTTGTTACTCCGTCTTTCCCGTTTTCTCTCACCCCTGTGCTATGTCAAAACACAATTTGGTCTGATTGCTAGAGAAGTAATTTTGGAAATTTGCCTACTCACCCTTTGTACCTGGTGTTGATCAATGCTACCACATCCCCACAGCCGGCGTCCCCACCCCACCCGCCTGTCCCAGTGATAACTCGATATTTTTGCTTAATGAAGCAACGCAGAGCACACGCCTCCGAGATATTCTCTGCTCTAAACCTGCACCTGTACAGCCTGATTGAAGTTTTAATATGTTTAAATACATTTACATTTGTTTGGTCACGGTGACAAGATCCTCTTTGATCTTTGGTTTATTAACTGCGATGAAACCAGATTCTGGATTTCGCTGTTTTGTGCAACTGTGACAGTTTTAGATTTGTGGCTAGCCCACACTCTGTCTCTCACCTGTTGTCGATGTACGACCGACATTACAGACAACGGTAGACTGTGTGGGGCCCACACAAATCACCTGAGGAAGTAAGGAGGGATTTTCTCTCAAGTTCCCCGCAACCAGTGTCAGTAAACTTTGCCAGTATTATTAAACCTACAGGTGGGGCATCGAGATCACAGCGAGTCAAATTATATTAGGAGAAACATTTGTATTTTAGAGAATTCCAGCTACTCTCAGCAGGCTTCAGATTTTTGAGCGTTGCTATAATCAGATCCTGGCAACTAACGTTGTTATATTTTGGGGATTAACTGTAACCTAACTGGATATTCGGGATGTTATAACTAGATACTGGAGTTTAATAGAACTGTATATGAGGAATATTAATGGCTGTAACTGAGGACAGATATCAGAGTTTGATGGACATGATATTGATTCTAATATATCCAGATTTTGTACAATTGGTGCACGTACATATTAAAAAGAAATTTAACACAATACTGGAAATTGATCATTATTAGTTATTAAGGATAATATGACAGGATACTGAGGCCTGATGTAATTGAATATTGGAGACAGTTATACTGAATAATGAGAAATGTAACTGTACAAGTGCGTCTGACGGGATAATGAAGACTGTACTGGAAACGAGTATACCTGAATAAAGACCAATACCACTGGATATTGGAGGCTGATGTAACTCGATAGGTTAACGTCGATTAATAAACCTCAATATTAGAAACTGGTACAACTGGACATGGAGATAAATTAATATTTCCAAATGATCTAATTGGATGGTGAAGATGAATGAATGATTGTTGAAACTGATAAAATAAATTATGAGAATTAACAAAATTGCAGTTTTGGAACAAATGTAACTCAATATTGGAATTAAGTAACTAAAGTTTGATTTGTTTTTTGTTTTTATTGTCACGTGTATTTTACAGTAAGCATACGACAAAATAACGTGAAAAGTTCCATCTGTCGCCTCGTAACCAGCGCCATTTTGAATAATTGATATTGGAGCTAGTAACTAGACATTGAGAATGAATATAACACTTGTTATTGTGCATTGATACAACTGTTTTTTGGTGATAGGTACAGTGAATATTGGGAATTGCTATGGTTTGATACTGGGGTTGACATCATGGATACAGGATACTAATGTGACTGGATATCAGGAACAAAAAAGGAACAGGAAAAGGCCATTTGGTCCTTCAAGCCTGCTGCACCATTCAGTAAGATCATGGTTGTTCTGGTTATGGTCTCTGTTCTACTTTCCTTTTTGCACTCACACCCCCACTCCCCAACAAAACCGCCTCCAACCTCCGTCCCCGCACCCCGCACCCCCACCCAGTCCTTGACTCCCTTGTCTATCAACATTCTAACTCAATCTTGATAAATTCGAATATCCGGCCTCCACTTTCTTTTGGGAAGGATAATTCCACAGTCCAATGGCCCCATGACAGAAAAAAAAGACATGCTCCCATCTCAGTCTTAAAAGAGAGATTTCCTATTCTTAAATTGCATCTCCTAGTTGCAGAACTCCCACAACAGAAAATCTCCTCCTGATATCCGTATTATTCCATCCCCTGAATATGATTCAATAAAATATCCCCATTCTTCACCTGTTTACAACATTGTTTAATAAGATAAGCCCTTCATCCCAGAAATTAGATGAGTGAACCTTCTCTGAACTGAACTGGTGTTCAGAACATATGTTGAAGGCTGACACAGCAATTTTTAATGAACTGATACAGCTGGATTTTAGGAATCAATATAACTGGGCGGTGCAAACTGTTATAACTGGCATGTTAGGAAATGCCACAACTTAACGTTAGGTTCAAAAATTACAGTGTACAGGTGACTGAGATGATTGGATTTGTGTGCCTAATATAGCTGAAAACTGCATAAAACTGAGCAATAGAAACTATTTTGATTGTATAAAAACCGAAAGAACTACGGATGCTGTAAATCAGGGACAAAAACAAAGTTGCTGGAAAAGTTCAGCAGGTCTGGCAGCATCTGTGAAGGGAAAAACAGAGTTAACGTTTCGGGTCCGGTGACCTTTCCTCAGAACTCAAGTTAACTCTGATTTTTCCTTCACAGATGCTGTCAGACCTGCTGATCTTTTCCAGTAACTTTGTTTTTGTATTTTGATTGTATGTTGGACAAAAAGTATAATTGAATTATTGGCGGCTAATATAATTGGACATTGAGGTGACAACAGAACCGAACGCCCAAGAAAGAAGTGAATGGACAATGAAGAGTAATATTAACGAGGATTGATGTTACATTTATTTCGGGACAGCTCCGTCGTTTTAAGTGGCCATCTTTCTGAATCTTAATGCTGGGAAACGGATACAGAAGGTACGATAATCTGGTTGGGGCTGAAAACCGGCTTGCAACTTTAGGAAGAAGTCTCTTCCTTGTCCAATACAAGGTATGCGCCTTTTCGCTCTCCGCTCCCCCTGCAGCATGCATAAGATTCCAGATATTGTTCATTATGTCATTCGTTCAAACGTAACCTAGGACTGAGGCAGAGGTGTAGAATTTGAATTGGAATGGTAAACACTGGAAACCGTGGTTTGCATACGGTTAGATCTAAAAAATGAGATTTGAGTTAGTCTTAATTGGAGTAAAACTGGGTTAGAATCAGATTTGAGGTTTAGGTTTGGGATCGGGCATAATTTGGGTTTGAATTATAGTGGAACGGGAGTGAAGTTAAAGTTCGGATGGAAATTAGTTTCAATGTGAGAATAGCAGATATGACATTTTAAATATCTGACCGATGTCAAAGCACACCGCTTACACTATGCAGGAACTGCCTATAAACTACCAGGGAACTGGTGCTGTGCTGGAGAGTCTTTCTGTTCAAATGCTCAACTACAGGGCCACAAAATAATTGTAACTTTTTTTAATGAATAAAAAATGTTTGCAATTAATTATTGTGTGGATTTCAGAGGCTGTACGATATCATGTCCGGTCTGGTTATCTGTCTGACACACAGCGAGATTCCCTTTTGTTCCCAATTTTCATTTAGAAAGTTATTTATGGAATACGCGCGCTGTTATTACTTGGCGAGCGAATTATTAGCCGAGCTGAATACGAATTTAATGAAGATTAAGGGAGGGTGTGTGAAGCAAAGCGCAACTTTTAAAGATTCTTCTTATTATAATTAACATCAGTGACATTTTGTAAAATAGCCATAACAGAACACATTTAATAAAGGGATCATCGATTGGTTCCTGGTACCAGTGATCAGTCTTGTATTACATTAGAACAATTAACATGCTCGCGGAGATCAGCAACTGACGGGAAATTAAATCAGAAACTTTTGTGAGTCACTTTTGGTGTTTCTCACAAGGTTTCGTGTGTGCCGGGCTGGGTCGGGGGGCGTAGGGGGTGTTGGAGAGGAGGTGGTGTCAGTGTCTTTGTGTTTGCGTATGTTTGATCCTGTTTGTCTATTAGTGTTGTAAGGCCTTTGTGCTTGTGTATTTTGGATGCTTGCATGTACACGCCCGTGTGTCAATGTGTGCATGTATGTGTTTATGGGTGTGTATGTCTGTATGTGTGGGGGTATATATGGATGAGCCTGTGTTTCCGTGCACAAGTGATCCACGTGTGTAGATGTGTGCTGGCTGTGTATTTGTGTATGCGTGTTGGGGGACTGATGTCTCTACGTTAGAGTGTGTAACTGCATGTGTGGCAGATGTGTTCTGTTGTGAGTAATGTACATGGAGAAGTTGTTTCTGAATGTGTGTGGGGGATTTCTCTATATGTGTGTATGTTCGGAATATGTGTGTGAGTGTATGTGTATGTATATTTTATGGAGAATGTAAGTATTTGTGTAGGTCTCAGTGTGTGTGGGTGTGGGATGTCTGTATTTGTGTGTCTGTATGTCTGTGGGTCTGTTTGCGTGTCTGTGTGTCACCATATGTGTAGGTTTCTGTGTGTCTATATGTGTGGGTCTATGTGTCTGTGTGTACAGGTATCTGCATTTCTATATGTATGGGTCTATATGTGTAAATCTGTGGGTTTGGTTGGGTCTGTGTATCACTATGTGTATTTGTCTGTGTTTATCTATGGGTGTCTGTATACATGTGTTTGTCTTTATTTGTTTGGGTCTGTGCATATATATGTCTGTGTAAGTTGGTCTGTATGTTTCCGTGTGTGTGGGTCTGTGTGTGGGCCTGTGTGTTTCTGTGTGTGTGGGTGCCTGTTTGTGGGACTGTGTGTTTCTGTGCATGTGTGGGTCTGTGTGTGGTGGTAAATTTTTGACAGGAGCTTCTAACGTTTGCACTGTTTGTGCCCTTGGGAAGGAGATTTCGCCATAATGTTCCCAGAGAAGAAAATTATTTTTTTTAAATCCATCAAAAATATTCGAGCATCGAAAACCATCAAGTTCTCCAAAACATATCTGCTCTTGAGGTGATGAAATAGGGAAATCGCAAACGCGCGCTCCCGCGGTTAGATGAAGCGGCCTATTTACCTTGAGAGCAGCCACCTTTTCTTTGCCTTGTTTCCTCGGTATAAGTGAAGTCATGTAAACGAGTTAATGCCACCAGGAATTAAACATACAGAGTTCCTCCGAGCAAAATCTTCCGGCTGTCTGGTCAAATAATATTCAAAACAAAAAAGTTGCGAAAACGATCGAATGATGTAAGGCAGGACAGCACAGATCCGAGGGGACATATACATACGCGAGATGGAAGAAGAGGCCAGTCTAACAGATCCTAGCACAAAACAAATCCCTTATTGTTACCACCTAAACATGCACTTTTACATTACATCTTTAAATACAGTTCCACCATGTAATGGTCCTTTATAATTCTCCCCGAAATCTGGGGGATACGGACTCTCGCTCAATTTCACTCACCGAAACTACAACATTAAAGCGAATTAACTTGAAATTTCACTACTTAAATTAGGAACACTAGCTGCCTTTATTGCCAATGCTTGTCTACAACATCAGACAACGTTGTTCAGTGACAGTAAGACAGACAGCGGCCGTGGAGTCAAGGCGTTTTGCTTCTTGGGTCGGTGTTTGTCCAGTTGGGTGACAGAGATTGTTAAATAAAGTGTTTTGGTCATTGAAGGGTAACTGAAAGATTGGACATTCGGCCTGGAGTTTGGTTCGTGTTTGTCCCATTGATGAGAAGGCGAAATGTGTTCCTATTCATTCAAATAACTTTCAGCTCTTACTTTTTTTTGTTTGAAAGTGGTAGCCTTTTTCCCCCAAAATCTTTTCTGGGAAATTGTTTTTAATAAAACAGCAGTTTGGTCCAAAACGAGGCAGCGAGAGAGTGAATGTACAATGTATGATCGGGCCCACAGTCTCCCACTGTCATTGGCGCGTTCAGTTGTCAGTGTATCCGCTCCCTCCTCATGAATAAAAGAATGAGCCCGAACCTATCAGAGTTTAAACTCCTCTCCTCCACCACACTGCGTCGAAGTTGGGCTCCTCAACAGCTCTCCGCTTCCTGGAGAGTTTTTGAAAAAAATACTTTCCGCAAAAAAAAAGCATTAAAAACAAATCCGAAGTTAAGAGGGAAATTAGCAACCAGCAAGAAAATTTGTACCGGGGAGGGAGATTATTTCTTGCGAGCAGTGAAGGGATTCCCTTTGCTACCGCTACCCTCCCCCGCCAAGTTTCCCTTCAGTCTACTAACTCCTCATCCCACTTTCTAAGAAACTTTTTTTTCTGCAGGAAGCGCACAAAGCGAGTCCAGCCCGGCCGGAGAAGGCAGCTGCAGCGAATAGAGACTGGAAACCAAGGGCTACAAGAGGACTTGGTTCTTCGCTCAGTTGTGTGTGTGTGTGTGTGTATCTGTCTGTGTAAATCTCTCCATCCCCCCCCCCCCCCAAACCCCCCCCCCCCCCCCCCCCCTCCCCATCCCCATCCCCACCCGGGACCATTCGTCTCGATACCGAATCGAGAATGACGTCTCTAACCGGGACAACACCGCGGATGATGCGCCCGAGTCCAGGCCAAAGCTACAGCAGGACCGGTTTCCCTCTGGAAGGTATGAATGCTATGAACAACAGCGTGCCTCAGTTCAATAAGATGTATTTGAATGTGGAAGTGCAAACAAGTCTAGTCGAAAGAGAAAATGTACGTGTGTCTTGAATTGAAGTTAAATGACTTTACATAAACAAGGAACATTTCTTTAACCGTGTTGGGGGGTAGGATGTTGGTTTAATGTGGAGTGAGAGTCCTGTTCTAGTGCACCTGCTTTAACATAAGGAATCCGTGTATCTTTAATTCATTGGCACCAGGCGTTTCGAGCTAATGGTATTTTTTTGTGATATGGTTTCCGAGCACGTGCAGCCATGCACAGAGTGATGATGTTGGAGGGTCTGGGACGGGATTTATTTAGATACTGCCGCTCTCCATCCGTGTATTTCGTGATTAAGGAGAAATTGGTAAAAGCTCACCAGCCAGGCCTGGTGTAAAACACACAAGCTCGGTGGATTTAGTCAAGTGCATCATTCAGCACATTGAAGTGAAGAAATAGTCAGGAAAGGGATAAGGGGGATTACTCCAATATTTGCACAACATGACTGGGAATAATGAGTGAGGAAAGTGCTACAGTTTCTAGTGCCCATCGAGTGCAGAAATGGGCCACTTAGCGACGTTTGGCAGGAATGAGTCGTGTCCAAACTAACCGCATGTGTTGGTCATCATTCTTGTAAATTAGCAATGCCTGATGCAGATTAAGAAACAGGGAGCTCCAAACAGTCCCCGATCGCCTTCTGTGGATTTTGATTCCGTCTCGCCTTTTATCTATTAAAATACAACTAACACACTTTATTTGGTGAGAAAACCTTTCCTGGGGAAACGAATTTATTCAAGACGGTTTCGTTAACTCGAGGTCCACCTTTAACCGGAAAATCGCATATTTCTATGGGGCGAGGTCGCCCCGATTTGCAGATGAGTGAATCGATTAGATTAGAATGAGGTTCAATTCTACAGAAAGGTGTGCAGACTTTATGTGCCCGATCTTCCCCAAATCAACCTTGTTTAGGAAGTTAGGACTTTAATTACATTCAATCTGATTACATTTCTAGGCTCTTTGGTTAAAACTGCGCTCATCTCCACTGGAGTTTGTGAACATTTGAACTGTAGTGTCACACGCCACTTCCCCTTCATTAACAGGAAAAGGTTCACATGGCAAGTTATAATTAAATTAATGTTACTCTCCTTTAAATACGGCAGAGACGGCAGTCCCTAAACTTCGTGCAGTTAAATCTGGAGCTCGGCCAGTAACACACACCTGTTTGAAAAGCCGGTTTTAACAATAATCACAATCTTGGGGTTTATAGGTTCCGCATATCTTTAAGGGGTGTGAAATGTCACTAATTAAAATAAATACCAGAATGAAAATAAAAAGTGCAACTGCTGTTGGTCAGTGTAAGTTTGACATTGCTCCTTGACTGCCCAGTTACAAACACTGGTTTCAGAGAGGTTTGTACACTGCCTACCTTTTTATCTTTTTCTCTTCTCTCTAACCAGTGTCCACCCCTCTGGGCCAGGGGAGAGTAAACCAGCTCGGCGGCGTTTTTATAAACGGCAGACCCCTACCGAACCACATTCGACACAAAATCGTGGAGATGGCACATCATGGTATCCGGCCCTGTGTCATCTCCCGGCAGCTGCGTGTCTCTCACGGCTGTGTCTCGAAAATTCTGTGTCGCTATCAAGAGACAGGCTCGATCCGACCCGGGGCTATCGGAGGCAGCAAGCCCAGGGTGAGTGCAGCAAATAGCGGGTTCGATGCGACCCTTTGCAAGGTCAGAATGATAACACCGAGCAAACTAAAACAATATTCCTTTAAAGGGGAGCAGTCATGTGATGCCCCGCAGAGAAGGGGAAAAAGAAAAACACTCAAATCCTGACATTTTCTAGTCACCGGCCTAAGTACATGTGTAGTACTGAAGCTGAACTTTATGTGGTCGCAAACTTTCTTCCCTCTTTCCCACAGACACACACACAGGTACACACATGGTTTTGGAGATTTGTGATACAAAAATCACTCGCAACTTTTTTTCTACTGTTGGAAAAGGCAACAAGAACACAAAACCCAGAAGGGTAACACACAGCGCCAACGCGGACCCTCCCTCCAGCAGAGACCCTTTCTCCAGTTGTTACATGCACCAGCCCACGCTGGTGAACTGTACTTATTTCCCGTTAAATCCGCATCAACCGAGTATAAAACTCCCGGGAAAAGGAAATTTTTTTTTAAATGATCGCTGTGACTTTTTTTCTGAAGGGCGTATATTCCAATAGATCGATAACACTGAGCAAGACTATTCAGCTCAACTCGGGAGTGTAGTGGCTGATTGATCTTTGAAATAGGGACCATAGCTATAGGGGTGTCAGTTCCTCTCCCTGACACGGTTGCAGAGAGACTGGTTTCAAATAAAATTGGGTATTCACAGCAATGACAGCAGAGCGAACTGCATTGGAATTAAATACTGAACTATCTATAACGCGAACTCTCAGTGAGGCATTAAGCGACATCATCCCTGGCTCAAAACATTGTAATCAATAATATTCTTTATACGTATCATTTAAAGAAGCTAGTCTTTAGGAGGAAGAGCATCAGTCGTTAGATTTCTTCCTCACAATGTCCTGAGCCACAATTGGATAAAACACATGGCAGCTCAATAAACAAATGTATCTTTCTGGATTTAAAACAAATTGGGCTGCTGAATGCCATTGTACTGGTTTTCAGACAGTGAATTAAAAAGTCTGATTTTAGTTACTGAGTGAGTCTCACGTCAATGAAATTAAAAGTTTGTGTTTTTTCCTCCTTTGTCTGTCTGTCTGTCCCGGTGTCTGTTTCCCCTACTAAAGCAGGTAGCAACGCCCGATGTGGAGAAAAAGATCGAGGAATTCAAGAGAGAAAACCCTGGGATGTTTAGTTGGGAGATCAGGGACAAACTACTCAAGGATGGCATCTGTGACAGGAGCACTGTACCTTCAGGTGAGGGGAACTTCCAACAGCCCGCTCCCTGACTATTCATAAAGGAGCCTATCAGACACACACGATTTCCAACACTTTTCTCAATCATTCACTTGAAGAGAGAGACACAGAGAGAGAGAGAGAGAGACAGAGCCAGAGCGACACAGAGAAAGCGAGAGAACGAAGACATATACAGAACCCAACCGCCAAACTGCAGCTTTTAAAAACTGTATCACGTTGAACTTTGTACAATTTTTACTTAAACTTAATCGAAATTGACACCAATGCATAAAAAGTCACACGCAATTTGCTGAATTTCGATAACTATCACGGACAATTTAGTCACCATCTATTGCTGCTCTGTATTGGCAAAAAAAATACACACAGAGTTTCCAGCTAAACTGCAGGTTGGTTTTTATGAAGTCTCCACAGGCCTATTGTACAATTCAGTTCCGAGGTGGCGGCGGGTGATTTGCTAGGTTGGTTTCTCGACCAGTTTGGTGTCTTGCAGCATTTCTTCGTGATCATTTTTCTTTCTTCCGGTCGGTTCCACCGACACCCCTCCTCGCCCCCCTCCCCCAACCCAATCAGCCTAGGGGCCGAAGCGTCTGCAGTCGGTTACTATCCCAATCCATGAAATTGATAGGTTTTCGGGCGATGGGGAAAGGACTTGTGGGCAGGGTCGGGTGACAGTTAATTCTGGGGACAGCCCGTCTCTTACCTGGAAAACTATTTTCCAGTTTTAAACATTTTGTTTTTGTTTTAAAAGTCGCAGTAACATCTGTCAGAAGAAATTAATACTGAAAACGATTGAATATGTCCACAGTAAATTTTAGTGGGAAAAAAAGAACGACCACGATTTATTTATAATGTTATCAAATTTCATAAGTTTTACGGAGAGCTTTTTAAATCCGAAATTATTAAATGAATAGCTTAAGTGGCCAGATGTCATGTAAAGAATCGACTTGTGGATAATGGACTTGTTCAAAACTTTTGCTTAAAATCGACACTTCAGTAAAATCACCCAAGCTATCGATTTCCCCAGTTTCCCTTTTCCCCGAAAAAAAGAAATAATTATTTTATTTACTTTTTCTTTTGAAAGTGAGCTCCATCAGTCGGGTGTTAAGAGCCAAGTTTGGAAAGAGAGATGATGACGAAGAAATGGAGAAGAAGGAGGAAGAAGGGGGCAGAAAGACTAAACATAGTATTGATGGAATCCTCGGGGAGAAAGGTAACATTGATGTTTGGTTTTGTTTCCTCCCAGTTGGAGTTTAGTTGAGTTCCTCTTGTCATTCTGTTGGTATCTGCGGACTGGGTTGGGGGTGTGGTGGTGTCTCATAGCTGGACTGAGGGTTGCAAAGTTGATGGTGGCTAGGGAAGGAGGAGGAATAAATTCCCTGTTCAAGTCTCAATTCCGCCTAAGTTTTGGCTACAAAACTACTAGAACTGCGCGCCTGGAATATTGGTTTAAAACACTCACAGGGGGATATGGCATGATTCTAAACATGCATTTGCTCGCACCTGACTGCGTTCCGGTGCCCTCTCTGTTTGATTTGGTGCAGCTTCACCGCCGCATTTTCATGCTGGAGTTAGCAATGATTGCAAATCTAGAAAAGGACATATACACACAATCCGGCGTTTGTTGTCTTAGAAATTCCGCAGAACATACACACACACAAACACTCTAAGCAATGTTTCAAAATCTATGTCTGAAAGGGGCACGGATGCTCTCCTCCCCTCGCAGAGATATTTTATTGTATGAGGCTCTCTGAAAGTGTTTCCGTAGATTTGGGGCAATACAGCGCCCAGCATTGGGAAACATCGCTCCCAAAAGACGATCCCTAGTGTAAAACGCTTTGCTGCAGGAAGTCAGCGCTGGCCGCCGTTTCCACAGGCTGCAGTCATTCATTATTCACCATGGAGTTTGAGGGCAAGTATTGTCGGAGCTTAAATTAATTTGTGTTATGGGACAGATCGTTCTCCGGGTTTCTTAAACGGTCCCTTGAAACCACGGCTGACAGTTGCCCGCTCTGGCAATCAATAACAATTAGAAGGGGAGATGACTGCAGCCGGCTGATAAAAGGCAAGGAGATGGGGTATTGACTGTGGGCGGATGATCAAGGGACAGACAGAGATTGGGGGTGGGGTGTGGGAGGGAATGGGGTTGTGGTCAGGGGGGGAGGTGGGGGAGAGAGAGAGAGAAAGTGTGAACACCATCACTTCGTCAGAGAATCAATTGGAACCTGCAGGGAAAGCAAAGAAAATATAAATCAAGAAAGTTACTGACAACTGTATATTTAGTGTGGTTGTTGTTTGTTGGAGAGGTTAGGTATATAAAACGATGTGATATGTTTAAATGTTTGTTTTCATGCATGCGGTTGGTTTCGTTCAGTGAGAGTGAGTTTCTGCTGAAGTAAATGGCGTCTGTCACACATGGTCCTGCTTTCTCTCCTTGCTCTTACATAAATGGTAGCGTGTTCCAGGCAAAGTCCCGATAAGTTGTATCAATCAGTTGATCCTTTTAAACGCTGTCGGGGTGAGGCTTGGCCGCTGACTTGTGTACCAATCCAAGATTATTCCCGGTCAAACTTTTGAAAAAAAAATAAAGCTTGTTTGTTCTGTTAATTCCTCAGGGCCCACTCGGGAATATTCAAACAAACACATTCCCTCCCTTTTTTTTACCCCTTTAAAAAAAGGACAAAAAACTGTCAAACGAGATGTTCAAACATTTCTACTGGGTTTGACAAAGGGTTTTCTCGAAGACGGACTCATTTTCAGACTTGGAGATGAACTTGAATACAAAGAGCTTCGAGTCCATTGAAAATGTTTTAAAAGCTGAAACACAAAAGGGAACAGAGGCGGAGGGAGAGAGAGAGAGGGAGAGAGAAAGAGAAAGAGAAAGACAGCAGTTCGTTCTGAGGCGTACAGAGTCCGCATTCTCATTCAAAAAACCTGCGAGAAGGGAAAAAAAAACATCAGAACAAAAGAGCGGGACAAGGAAATAATGGAGAAAGGGAACTACATGAATAATGCAAACGCACCCCGCTGCTCGGAGTTTTGTAATATCATTGGGAAAGAATAACTAGCTGAAGGTACAAAACGATTTAAAGAAAAAACATTTGGAAACAGTCGATATTCATTTGGAAAGCAGATTTCGTGCAGTTTTCCCCCGTCGCCTTCACAGTCCAACCACTTCACACAACATTTAAATTTTTTTTTTAAAAAAAACAAAAACATACCTTTAATTTATTGCAGAGGGAGTCACATCAGCCGGAAAGGGGCAAACAGTTCTTGTGATTTTATTCTGTGTGGACGGTGGGGATCAAGATAATTTTTAAAATTATTTTGTCGAAGTTTATTTAATTCGTTCTAGTTTTTTTTAAAAAATGTACTGATCTCGTGTTCTCCTGAATATATTTTTTTAAAGTATTATATTTTTCGCGCCCTTCGCAACCCCGGCCTTCGGTCCATTTTCTTTTTAAAAAAAAATCCATATAGATAAATTAAATCTCGGTAAAGCAAAGTTTGTAAGAATGTTGAATGGTGTAATTTTGTGAGCGATTATACTGGGCGTTTCATGAATTATTGACACTCAACTCGGTGAAAGAGATTGCGTTCCCGAAATCCTGCCAGTTGAGAGACGCTGTAAAAAATATTTATTATTTGTCGATATTTTGGTTAGTGGTCCGGTCAGTGTAGTTTAATTTTCAAAACTTCCGGAGGTATGTTTTTTTTAAATCAGTTGTTAATTTAGCGAATTCCAACTTTCAAAAACTTTTAATTCTCTTAAACTTACCTTAAGTTTCAGGTAATAGAGTTTAGAGAAGGTGACTTTTCAGGTGCTTTCGTTTTATCTAAATAAGGAAATATCTAGGCCGTCGCCGAAAGCTCGGTCGCTTAATACTTCAGTATATATTTAAAAATGTTTGAAGGAGAGAGCTCCGCGTGTTGCCGTTTTTCAATCAGTCTTTAAAGAGTAGCTGGGGCTCACGCTGGGTTATAGCGAAATGACCGATTGTTTCTTTAAGACGCCTGGGTGACAGGATGGTGTTTCTATTTATTGACCAACTTCTTTTTTCAGGAAGAGTTTTTAAAAGTCTACAAAACTTTTCTTTCACTTTCTAAATTGAACGTAATAACGACCGGATGTTTAAACGGCCGACGACCTCTGTGATCTTTTTTTATCGAGTGTCTAATTTAAACCATTGGGCAAGCGGGAATCTTTTCGCTCGTGTCCATCCCCTAACTGCAAACAGGATTTTGTTTGTAAAAATCTTCAAATTTTAAACTGCTAACCCTCGCAGTTCAATAACAGTGCATGTTAACAGCTGCCGAAGAATCTCACACCCACTTATCGTAATCACACACCCCATCGCAACCTCTGGGGGGATTCTACAGCTAATTTGGACAAGGAGAAACTTTATAGATAAGTTTTTTTTAAACGCTGACTCTTCAATGCTTGTCTATAATACAAGCTCGGTATAGTGCGCCAATACATAGCCCTGTCTCTTTAAGCGATTTGTTTTGAATAATTATTTACATTTCCCAGAACCACAGGAAACCCAAACATATCTTAACTTAATTTGTGTCTTTACTGCGGTAACTCAAGGCCGAGATTCTAATGCCCTTTCTCTTTTTTTAAGCAAAGATTTTGCTGGACTGTTCCTTTTCCTCTCATCTCTTTGACATTTCATAATGTTAAGGCTTATTACAGAAAGTAATGAAAACTGTTCTGTGTGAATGAGGGGCTGTGTTTCCGAGGAGTGTAATAGCTCCTAGCCATGGTTAGAAGTGTATTTAGCCCCAATCAGCCACTGTGGGGACTTTTAAGCACAAACGTTATGTTGAAGGGTTTTAAGGCAGATTAAATTGAGCCCTTTTATTTCTTGCACTTTCATCTTTAAACGCTTCGCTCTGTGTAGCTCCGGGCACAAATTGGCCAGATTTCAGTTCCCTTTTTATAGGACGTGATTTTTTACAAAATGTATATATCATTTTAGGACACAGTTAACATTTTGTCACGTGCTCCTCCGACCTCGTGCTGACAACAATCATTTAGACTGGGGATAGATGTTAAGAGTAAAATGTAAAAAAGTAACCGTGTAGTTAAGGGAACCTGTTTCAACAAAACTGCAACTGAAAGACATAGGTGTCCACAATCAAATCTAAAAACAAATTCTGTAAGAATGAATGGGTGCTTGAGATGAAGTTCTGTCTCCTACTGACTTGCTGGGGGTGGGGGTTGGGAGGGAGTTCAAGATTCCTGCCTCATCACCACCTCCCAATTTCTGTTGATTGAGCGGTGAACTCCAGCGATCCCTTGTCTGGAGGTAAATTCTGTACAATTAACAAAAAGTAAACAAATAGAGTGACGAAGAAAACAATGTGGTGGAATTTGTGGGAAAAAAATACAGTGAAATACCTCTGATATGAAAATCTACACAGCACGGGACATCGATTTGCAATGGAAGTAGTAATGTAGATAAGAACTGCGAGCATCTGCAACATGTTACGCGAATACATGGTGTAGGTATCATTATAAATGGGAGATAGATCAACAGACACAAGAGAATTAAATTGGATGACGAGTTAAAAGGGCTGCAGAGAGACGATAGACTGTAGAATGAACAATGGTCAAAACTGCAGATCAATGGAATACTAAACGGAAGAAATTTGCATCACACGAATAAACAACGAAGCAATGTAATAGGGTAATAATGCGTTGTAGTTGCAGAGATTGACAACTGGGAATTCTGAGTGAGAATCGAGTTTAGAACCACATGCTGGTTGCTTATGTTTTGTTTTGGTGAGGAGTTTGGTGTTCGGTCAGCAGCCGTTAGTCAAGGGTGTGGAGAGGTGTTGAATTTTGCTGTCGTGTAAACATTTTGACAAGCCAGTTGCATTTGGCAGAGCAGAGTAACAACCCGTGTGACAGGATGACTATAGGAAGCTGACATACAGGATTTGGTCGAAGAAGGATATGGATAAAATGCAGGAGAGAGCCACTAAAGTTTGCTTGTGTGTATCTGGCGGGTGAGGCGTGTTTCATACCTGGTTTGCCGAGGTAGAAGTGTCTATTCGGTAAACTAACCACAGAGAGTTAACCAACAACCTTCATGTGTAAGCGAAAGAGAGACAGAGAGGCTACAATAGACACTTGAAGACCGAGGGTCACCTGGAAGTTGTGAATCTAATCAAACAGAACGCAGAGAGGATTTTTGTGTTTGTGAG